CTTTCCCTCCATCCCTGAAGGACAGCAAAGGTAAAACATGTGCATGTGACGTGTGGCGCATCTAAAGTTTGTTGTGATACTGTTGTAGCTTATGTTTTAGCTTGCTTGTGTGGCTATTGTAGGTCTCCATGTGTTGTGGAACTACAAATCCCAGTATGCAGCTACCTCTGGGTGTCATGCCTGTTTCTTTTCTGGGTGTACAGACTTTTATATGCATCACGGGACTTGTAATTCCACAGCTGCTGAAAGGCTGATGTTGTTAACCTCTTGATTAAGTGTGTAGGAGTTTATTATGTCATGGGCAGGGCTTCTTTTCATTGGAAAAGCACTCAGTACACCCATATGCAGAAACACGCATCTATTTAGGGGAAACGTGCAGAAACGCGTGAAAAGCACATAAAAACGTGCACGGAAACGCTGACGCCTGGGTGTGAATGGGGACTAGTTTGGTCTGCCCTGAATAGTCTTAAGGCAATCTTTTACCCATTTCTTTCTCAGTATATTTATTCCTCTGCTCTATGCTCACTATCCCTTGCAGGGCAGGGATGCCATTTGTACAGACTCTCCAGGGCTTAGGAGCCCATTTATAGTAGAGGTAAGTTGCATGCGTGCTGGGACCATTCTCACTGTCACATAGACCCGGACATGGCTCACTTCTAACTTTTAATGTATACATAGTGAAAGAGTGTTTATACTTGGCCGGTAGTTAAATGAGGCGATCAAAAATTGGTCTTGCACAGGGGACCCTTGCATGTTTTTGCACTTGAGCATTTTTTCAATTATTTTAAGCCACTGGAAATCTAGTTACTAGGCAAGAAAACGTGGAAACACAATCAAATAGAACATTTTTCAGGCTCTACGGGTGGCAGAATGCTCAGATGTGAACAGGGGCCAAAAAAACATTAGGGTTCCTCCTGTTGAGTGTTGTAATGGTACAAAATCCTCTGGTGTGAACGAACCCTTAGCCTTCCCTTTCCATTGACCCAGATAGTACAGTGGCTCAGTGGTTAGCACGTTCAAAGTCCAAAATGGACCTAGCATGTGTGCATTTAATATTGAGACCTTAGATTTTAAGCTCCTCGAGGACAGGAACTGATATGAATGAACAATTGCTGTATAAATTGATGGTGCTTTATAAATACCTGTCATAGATAAGTAATTACTGTCTGAGATTTCTTTCTTCCTATTTCTCATCAGTCACTTTTCTGTACCCTCTGCTTCTCCAGCCCAAAGTTACATTCATTTGTTACTTCACACTCGCCTTCACCTCTGTCGTTACTTGCACCTCTTGTATGGGACAGGTAATTTCAGTACATGAAGCTGTCACAGGTACACATACATGAGTAAAATGTCTTATGCTACCATGGACTGCTGCACATAAGTGAAATGTTCCTTTGTATTAGACATGTGCGATTTGTTTCGTTCCGAGTCGAAATTCGGACGAAATTTCGGAAATTTGGTGTCATATGAAAAGTATTATGTCACCTCGGCTCACAGACCCCGAATGGCATTCGGAAACTCACGAATAGCATTTAGGAGTTCCCGAATGCTATGTAGTATTTGACAGCTGAGAATGGCAAATGGGCGGAGCGAGCCATGACATCACGGCTCGCTCCGCCCATCCGTTTACTTTCGAGCAGGAATGTCATTTTGAGGCGAGTTTTCGTCGGGTTCAGACGGTCGTCGTGCGGCGGGACTTTTTTTAATTGCGGCGGGTTGGCGGGCATCGTGATTGACGCTGGATTACATCGATGGAGCCATTTTTTTTTGATTAAAGGAATAGTCAAAAATTGTCTTTGTTTTTTTTTTCAATTAAAGGATTTTATCAAAAGTCTGGACTTTTAATAACTATTTGTTTTAACCCTCATTCACAGGGGGGGGGGGCGTCATCTGGGTGCCCGCTTAAAGGGGTACCCCAATGCAAATAAGCCCCCCTGCCCGCAGACCCCCACAACTACCGGGTTAGGGTTGTGGGGAAGAAGCCCATGTCCCCATTGGCCTGGTAAGGTGCAGGGAGGCGGGGGGCGCTCGATCGCCCCCCCCTTTCCTGCTGGGCCAGTGCTCGGATCAAGGGTCTGGTGGGAATGTTAGGGGGGACCCCATGTTTTTCCCCCCATTCTTTGGGTTTCCCCTTAAAACAAGATTTTGGGGGGAACCCCACGCCCTTTTTTTTTTAACTTGGGGGGGGGGTCCCTCCTAACACTTAAAGGGTCTGGTATGAATTGGGGGGAACCTCACGCTTTTTTTTTTTTTCCTCTTCTGCAGACTGTAAAAAAGCTAACAAATTTTTCCGAATTCGAATCCCGAAACAAATTCAATTTCGGACCTAAATCCCGAAAAACTAAATAACGCAAAATCCGAATCAAAACGAAACAAATTTTTGGCCAGTGCACATGTCTACTTGGTATTTCATTTAGATTCTCATTAGTTCTAAGCCTTGCCCTTTATTTTCAATGAAGAGCTCTTGTTCACAGGCGGGAGGACCTACCCCTTTCCTCCTAAGTTTTCTTATTGCCTCTTCAATGTTATAGGCATCCTATTTTACCAATACAGCTTGAGAAGGATTGGACCAAGCATGACTTTTACAGGAAAGGTCAACATTTGCATATACCTTCAGCAGCTTATAGCTTTGGATCTTTAGATTGTTGGCTTTCATTGAAGCTAAACACTACTTATACATGCTTTCATCATGCTCAAATGAAATTGGCAAGGTTAGTGACTGGTTACCTTAAAGTGAATCTCTAGGGAAAATCTTTTTCCCTACAAGAAAAATGCCCCTCATTTTGACAGATTTGTTTTAACTTAATGTTGCATCTCTGGGACAAGAGATGAAGGAAAATGTACCCAATGATACACAGAAACAAAAATATTAACTGGCAGGTGTTTAACCCTTCTTTACTCTATCCACACACAAAAAAATGTTTTGGCTATGCATTAATGTTAAAGAGACCCTGTCACCAGGTATACTTGCCTTCGCAATGCTCCCTTGCCACTACTTCTTCTATTGTTTCCACCACAAAATACTTTGTGCTCTGGGTATAGGGAAGCATGTCACAACAATCAGTAAAGTGAGAGATATAGGCTGCTAAAAGTATATGAAACTGCCGACCTGTCTTGTAAAAGTCACTCTCTTTGGTCCTATCTCAAAAGCAACCCTATTGTTCAGGTAACCTAGCCATACACTGCTCAAAATTTGTTCTGCAGACTTTTGAGCTGTGGGTGGCCCTCAGGGCTGAATGAAAAAAAAAATGCAAGTATAAAGCCACCTTTAGTTACCCAATTACCTACTCACACAATTTGGAATTTTCACCAAGACAAATAGAGTTCTTATTTCCCTTCATTTTTCTTATCACTGATATGGTGGGATTTCTTCATAAATTTGCTTCAACATATTGTGAAGGAGAAATGTGAGAACAATTTAGTCTATAGGAACCATTCTGTTTTTTAACTAGCTTTTCTGACTCGCCTGTAAGTTGTCTTTGCATTAGAAATGCCCCATACCATTGAGGAAAAGTCAATTTTTTTATTTGTATGGTTTGGTGCCAATGTTGATAGTATAGGCAGACATATCATAATGAGAAGCAAATGTTATACAATAGGCATTTACAAAAAATTGAAAATGTAACGTTATATAGTAAGTAACCACTTGACAGAGTGGAGAGGGGGGAAAAGCTGGAATGTGCACAGTGGGCTGTAGTGTATGTACTGCTTTCTCACATTGCGCTACTCAGTGTCCGTGGCCCAAAGAGGCATGGTAAAAAGATCCCGAGCCTATTTATCCACAAATAAGCCTTAAAGTGACATTAAACCCTCAGATTTTTTAACATATAAACCAATACTGTAATGTGTGGCTTACTGTAATCCATCGTTGTTTCCCTTCTCTTTGCTGCTCTTCCTTTTAAATCTGTATCTGTTCTCATGCTGGGCAGAACTTCTGTTTTGCAGCAGACTGCCTTGTCTATGGAAAGGATACATGGTGTCTGTGTGTAGGTTTGCAACCTGAGCCAGCACTACAGGAAGAGGCAGTCAGCTGCAAAGGGAAGTTCTCCCCCAGCATGAGAAGACATGAGGATTTAAAAGGAAGAACAGCAAACAGAAGGGAAACAACCATGGATTACAGTAAGGTAACATTACAGTATTGTTTTATGTTAAAAAATCTGAGGGTTTAATGTCACTTTAATTACTGTGCCACCAGAGAGAGTATTAATGAGAGACATAAGCCTCAAGACAAAGTGTAATTTAACTATTAACTATTAGGTTAAGTAGGAGTAAAAATGTTCTTAAATTGGTGTCAGTTGGGGGGAAAAATGTCCCTAACATTGGTGTTGGTGGGGGTACATACTGTCCCCTTCATTGCTGTCAGTGGGGGGGGGGGGGGGGGCAGTGCCAGTTGGAGGGTATATTGTCCCTTTTATTTATGTAAATGAAAGGTAAAATATTCCTTTGATTGCTGGCAGGGGCATACTTTTGCTTTTATTGGTCTCAGTTGGGTGTATAGTGTCCCTTTTAATCGTGTTAGTGAGGGGGGGATACTTTCCCTTTCATTGGTGTCAGTTGGGGGGCAGACATACAGTCTATCTCATTAGTGTCACTGAAGGGTGCCGTCAGTGGGAAAGAGGGGGGCGTACTTTTCCTTTCATTGGTGTCAGTGAGGGTGCTTAAGAAAGTCCCTGTCCCTTCAAGCTACTAACAACATTTTGAGAAATGTCACTAACAGACGAATTGTAGGTCAAATTTGAAACCGTAGGATATCCATAGCAATATAACAAGACTGCTATTGTTGGACAATGCAAAACAATTACATATACTCACAATATTGTAAAATTGAAATAATTTATGGCATATGATTCTATATACAGTAGGCACTTTTAAAACTAGGTCATTTGTTCGTATCAAATATTCTAGCCCTGACAGTGTGACACCACAACAAGATGTTGTTACTTATTTAATGAAACATATACTTTTTAATTGTCATAATGCATGTACAAAACGGTTGTAGCAATCTAAATTCCTAATGTCCAGGGAAAAGGTAGAATTTCTTCATGAGTGTTTTCCTCTCCTGTGTAGGCATCTGTACCTTGTCCTTGAAGGAAAACTGAACCTATGGAGAAATAAAGGTACAAGTTCAAGTATGCAAATTTCCTTTTCTAGAGTACATTTCATTTACTATAATACAGTATACAAAGCTGTTGAAAAACTATTACTTGCTGCTAAACTTCTCACTTAGGGTAATTTGCAGTAATGCTCAGACCAAAGTGAGATTGTTTGGTGAAATATCTCTCCTGAGTTTCTCATCTCACTAACAAGGACTTCTTAAGCAAGTATTGAGTGACTGTTACTATGAGAGGCGAGAGAAGCAGAATTGTAAAAGCAGTAAAATTATATCACTAACCTCTCAGCTGGGGCTGTGAGAGTATCTACCTTTCAGATTGTAGCAGGTACAGAGTTTAAGCTCATTAAAAATTATCCAAAAAATACTATATAGCAGTTATTGCTCAAATAGTGGATATGATTTGTAAATGCTGTGCTTTTTAGATTGCACATGCAGCTGTGTGCAAGTAAGCACACAATTATTGCTCCCACACACACACCACATTAATTATGGAACTCAGACCACACTCTCATAAAGTCTGTTCCTATCCATCATTCAGTACAACCAGACCACTGTGCTCTGAGTATAAGCAGCAACCCTCAAAGGTGCAGTCTGACTTGCCCCTTATGAGTTAGCCCTCGTTCACACCTGAGCGTTTTGTAGCGCGTTCTACACTCGACGAACGCTCTACAAAACGCTCAAAAATATAAATCCCATTGTATTCAATGGTCTCGTTCCCACCTTGGTGTATTTCCGCCCGTCCCTAACGCGCTACAAAACGGCCCACGCCTGAAAAGGTACATGTACTACTTTGGGCCATTTTGTTGCGCGTTTCCATTGGGATTACAGCCAAGTAGCCTTCGGAAACGCGCGTTTGTCACGCAACTTTTTTTTACCGCAAATCGCAGTAAAAAAATGCGCGACGGCCGCGCATATGCAATACGCCTAGGTGTGAACGGGACCTTAGAGCTAGAGACCTCCACTCAGCAGAGAATGTGAACTTTGCTTAGTGGAAGACTCTAGTTCTGATTTGCCAAGGGATGTGTTTGAACGGAACTTACATACAGAGTGCAGTGACCAAGCTCTGCTGCATAAAAATGGGGGACTGACTTTTTACTATGGCTCTGGGCTGCTTTAGAAATAAATGGTAAGACTCTGCTCAGTTTGCAAGGATGGAAGCTATTTTTTCAAATTCATAGGCGCGTTCACTTGGGTTTTAAGGGCTATGCTACACAGAAAATTTTAATAACTTGTTACTGAGAGATTTGCTGACGGCATCCTCATTAGACTAGAGCTACACAGTATACAGTACTACAATAGTACTAGAAGCATTAGTGATTGATCACAAGGAGTAATGATTGATCATTAATGCTTCCCTATGAATGATTGAAGTATTGTGTGATTATACAAGGCTGAGCATTACTAAATGTTACTTGTGTAGTTTAATCCATGTGTATGCTTTCTTTCCCCCAACATTTTCCCAATTAAATATATTGCAGGATCATTTCCCATTAGGTTAGAAACTTGACATATAAAAAAAAAAAAAAAAAAATTTAATTTTTCATGTGCTCAATCAGACGTAGAATGAACAAGGAGCCTTTTTGGGTATCTCTCCAGGAAAGAGTGTCTAAATCCATGAATATAAAGTCACAAATTCTTATGGTTGCTAATGTCTAAACAATTTAAATAAATATATTGCTTTTTCAGAAAGTACATTTTCTGGATCCAGTGAAATGTTGCATCTTAAGTACCAACTGTATGCTTTTACTAAGGTATTGGTGAAAATGACATTGTGCCAGAAAAAGATTGGCGGTTGTTGAGGAATGCGGATTGTAGCATATGACATCTAATTTTGGCGCATTGCATATCAAATAAACCAAACAGTGCTTCAAGCTCTTAGCAACCTGTGACGCTCTGTCCAGCTTCCAGCCCACTGACATCATTGGTTACGAGGGATCTGAGTGGGCGTTCTGGCTGTCGTCCCGCTGAGCTCCAGGCAAGTGTTGTCAGTGAGCTGGGTGGGACTGGACAGAGATCCGCTGACAGCACGGCTCTCGGTCTGTCTAACACAGGCGTCAGTCCCACTGAATCTACCTCATAGCACCTCCCCCAGCACTATTAGTAGCACCAGCTGCCACCCCCCCCCGCACTATCAGCGGCATTCTCAGCAGCACTCGAAACCACACAAACCCCCTCCCTCGGGCGGGATTTAGGGTAGGGACAGACGGCCCTGTTTATCCTTTTATCCTTACAGATTCACTTTAAGTAATAGTCCTCGAAAACTGTTATTTTCTTCTTACATGTGCCTTACATGGTGGATTTCACACCTTCTGCATGTCATGGTCTGCAGGAATCTTTCAAAATATCTGGATATTAAGTAATTTACACTAACAAACCCAAAATAAATACTGATTTTTTTTTTTTTATTCTACATGATATATTATAATACATTTAATAAGAGAGTAATGATAAAGATGAGTTGGTACCTGGGGTAGTAGAACAAAAGCAAATGAAGTCACGTTCCTTCTGAAGCATTCGCATTGCATCGCTTTCCAAGCTTTCCTGGACCGCACTAGGAAGGGCACAAGCACTGTCCGCTACCAACACTTGACCTTTATCCCCTGAATCAAAAAATACATGAATAAATCCATATTGCAGTAAGGATTAGTAAGAATACTGCACCGCTCAAAGATAAAATACATGTAAGTAAACTGTATTACTGCGCAATATATTTGTAATTCTGTTTAGCCAGTCAAATGATTCTCACTTCTCTGTCACACTTAATGGCTAGTGTCACAGTCTGGGAACTGGGGCACTAGGGAACGTATGCTCCAGGGTTAACAGAGCTCCAGGGTAGGCTGAGCTGAAAAGATGCCTGTCATGCAGGTCACAGTGAACCCAGGGACTGAGGTGACTATATGTTATTGGGGGCGTGCTAGAGGCGCAGGGTATTCACCAGAGCCCCATAAGGTGGGGATGTTATGCTGCAGGACAACTCTCAGGCGGGCAGGGGTGAAGTCTGTTACACACTGATGATCAAGAATACAGGATACTGAGGAAATCAGAGGAGGAAGTCCATACATAAAGGTGATAAGAACACTGATTTACAAAAGGGAGTCAGTAACGGCATGGCTGGCCAGGATACTCAGAAGAGGCTGGCTGAAAGAAATAGGCCGTCACACAAGAGCTGGATAGAGACTCACTGGAAGAGCACAGGTGCAAAGAGCTCACAGTAGATAGTGATAGCAATCCACTTGCTGGAAGTGCAGGATCTCAATAGGAGCACGGAGGAACCCGAAGGAGACACAGGAAACAGCAACACTGGTCAGCAGCAGTTTGCAGGGATCCTTAAGGAAACAAGTTCCAAGGGACACAAAAGGGATCTGGCCAAATGTTGCTCAAACACCAAGCAACAAGTGCACGGGCCTTTTAAACACAGAGGTTCAGGGCGGATTGGCAGGAAGACGAGTATCACAGACGGGGGGGGGCAAAATATCGCACTGGATCAATGCACGGGGAACTCTTGACAGCTAGGAAGTCAAGTCCTGTTTCAGCTTTACAACTTCCTGAATAATGTGTTTGATGATGAGAATTAATTGTCTAATGAGTAGGCTGGAGATGAACAGATGACCCAGGAAGTTGCAAAGCTGAACCAGGAAAAATAGATGTCTCCGGTTTTGATCTGTAATGTTTAAATCACAAGATGGGATAAACAGAATTTCAAATCCTTGGGGATGTAAATGGTTATATTTTACTCATGTGTTCAGCTCTAATGACTTTTCAGTATTGAATTTAAAATAAAATGAATGAGAACTTCAGAACGCATACGCTCTAATCTTCCCTCATCCTTGCCATGTTTTTCTACTTGCTCTTACTATCAAACATTTAGGGGTTGATTTACTAACCTTATAAACACGCCACGAATAAGTATACACCTCTGTAGTGTGTTCCCTCCCAGCATGATCTATGGGTGGAATCTAGACACCTTTGTAGTGTGTACACACCCAGCAGGTGTGTTGTGCAAAGCCCTGCATGAATTGCAAGGTGATGTTGTGTAAATTAGCTCTATGTTGTTGTGCTTGCGTTGATGAATGCAGGAATGTAAATGCATGAGCTAACCATTTTTGTCTAAACTGTGAAGCAGCATTATATATGCATAATGTGCATGATTTTTCCATATATGGCATTAGTGGAAATATGCTTTTAGAGACTTTTTGGTTGATAAATACATTTTGCTGTGTAAAAATCACACGCACCTAGTGCGTGCGTGTGTTTAGGTTAGTAAATCACCCCCTTATTGTCACATATTTTATGTTCACCAAGTTCCACACCCATTAGTACATATACAGTACTTATATACTATTTGTAAATGATTATATTTTAGTCTGACTAACAAATGATGGTAATACTAAGAATAAACTGTAACTATATTATTTACCTGATACCAAGTAATTGTCATCCATCTTAAGCTCATAAGAATAAAATATGTAAATAATAATGTATACTTAGTTTACTAGCAAACATTAATTGCCTGGATGTTATGCATACCTATTGGCTTCCATACTTTCTAAGTCACTGCCTTGGAACAAGTGCAGATCAGAGAAGAAGGAGAGAAAGTCGCTGTCCTTTTGTACAGATTTGGTTAGGTCAGTGACCTAACCAAAGTATAGAATCAAGAAGGTCAGCATGACAGCCAAGCAACAAGCTGCTTAAGCTGAATAAGATGCTTATTCGTGGTGATGAGCAGCCAAAACTGTAACAGCCAACTGTGATGGATCTGATGGATAATGTGCAATCCATGCACTACTCATAACACCCAGGGGACAGTCAAAATGGTCTCTAGGAAGCTGCATACATGTGCTATTATCTTGCTTACAATATCATGTATTTCATTCTGTCCAAATCTGTATTTGTATACAGATTCCTTTTCTTACAAAAGTTATTCTGATGGTTCTTAACAAGAGCCACTTTAACTAAACCTTTCTGTAAAGAGCTAAGTGCAAACTGGAAGTCATTAAATGTTAAAATTGTTTTACAAAGTGGAAAAGCCAACACAGAAGATTTATAACCTAAAGACAAAAACTGTAACTAATAACAAATAAAAACTAGCAATAAAAATTAGTTCAAATGTAAAGAATCCTGTGCAGAGAGAATTATGTAAACTAGGGATGCACCGATGCCACTTTTTTAAGACAGAGTACGAGTACCGATACTTTTGATCAAGTACTCGCAGATACCAATTACCGATACTTTTTCTTAAAGGGACAGGTCAAATTTTTTCTAAAGCAATACAAACTAATGCTTTAAGGTCACTTTCTTAATATTATGATTCATGAGATGACGAGGGAGCATGACGCCGGCTTCCCGGGCCAATCAGAATGCCGGGCGCTGCGTCATTACCCGCTCCCCGACTTCCTGATTGGCCGGGAAGTCAGCTCCATGCTCTCTCATCACAAGTGACGAGAGAGCATGGAGCCGTTTCCTGGCCAATCAGGAAACCGGGCAGCGTGTACTGATGTGCTGCCCGGCTTCCTGATACAGGAAGTACTTGTGCTAGGTATCGTAGCATTTGGGCAAGTACGAGTACTCGATACTAGTATCGGTATCGGTGCATCCCTAATGTAAACCTTAACTACTGATATTTCATGTTAAAAATGCTTTCTGTGTGGCTGTCTTCCTCATGTAGTGGATTCAATACAATCAGTCACCATCAAGTATGTAAAACAAGACATCAATGGCTGAATAAATGTCCCATGCCTTTGAAAGTCAGGCACATCTTTAATAGGGATGAGCCGAACACCCCCGTGTTCGGTTCTAATTCGAACAATTAGGCTGCTTTAGCCCTTTGTTTATTAATGCTACCACTTATAGCCCAGTCATAAAGGACAAAAGGCCAGGCATATCAGTGTAGTTTATATTTTTACAGCCCCCTAATGCCACCATTCACCGTATACATTTATATATTTGTCACACCCCATTGGCACAATCCTCCTTTTACTGGCACTGCAGGTAAAATCTGAAATGAAGTTCAAGTAAAATAACAGATACACCATAAAACCTAAGGTTTGTGGGCACCTGACCATCACATCTACACTATATGGCCAAACGTATGTGGCCACCACATCAAATTATTATGTTCAGGTGTTTCCAGTGAAGGGTACTGTTGATACTACAGCATACAAAGATATTTTAGGCAATTTTGTGCTTCCAACCTTGTGGCAGCAGTGTGGGGAAGACCTTTCTCTTTTGCAGCATGACTGGGCCCCTGTGCACAAAACCAGTTTCATAAAGATAGGTTTGATGAGTTAAGAGCCCTGTACTCAACCCGACTGAATAGCCCTGGGATGAATTGGAATTCAGATTTCAAGCCAGGGCTTCCCATCCAACATCAGTAGCCTTTTTGGCTGAATGGACACACATTACCTTAAGCACACTACAAAAAATTGTAAAAGCCTTCCAAGAAGAGCGGAGGTTGCCATAGCCACAAAAGGCAGGGAGGTTTAAATAGATGTACAAAAAGCTCAGATGGGTATGATAGTCAGATTTTCCAAAAAATCTGGAGCAGCTGTGTATAGCAGCCAATCAACATCCACCTCTCATTTTCAAAGCTTAACTAAACAAATTGAAGAGAGAAGCTGATTGGTTGCCATAGGCAACTGCTCTAGATTTTGTCTGTTCTAGTTTTGATAAATTCCCCATAGTGTATTTGTAGGGAGCCCTAATTGTTTATACACGGCTGTTGGAAACAGCTTCTTTTTTTTTTTTTAAAGCAGTTATATGAGGTACAGCATGTATGTGAGAAAATATGCTACAACTGATAAAATCACTTTGGAATTAATACTTTTAAGCTTTAAACCCAGGGTATCACTGACACTGATCCACCAGTTAGTAATTTACCAAACTCTGATCGGCCTTTTAAGGATGTCTGCTAAAATACCAGAGCACTTTTACTTACCCCCACGACAGGCTTGAATAATTATAACTTTTGGTTTATCTCGCAGGACGCGGCAGTTCACATTGTTGAAGGTAGTGAAGATCTCATCAACATGTAGCATATTGTTTGTCTCCTCCTCAGAGTCAGTTCCACATATGACATCTCTCTGACCATGAGACATAAATACTATGAAGGTGCTATCTGAGGTGATGTGTTCCTGCTCAGCAGCAAACATTCTCATTGTGTCCCGCATCTCCTGCAAGAATGTCATAGAGAAATAGTTAAGATGTGATGGAAACAAATACTACTTCTGTCATCTCACTGGGCTTCATATATAAAAGCTGAAGGAAATTAAGGTGAAATACTAAAATTAGATAAAGGATTCCCTTTCTTCAGTATTAAAATACCACTATGGCCAAACCTTTTTTTGGCCATAGTTCTCTTTAAGGTCACAGTAGGACATTTACTAATGTCATGTCAGCTACAGTGTCACACGTTGGCTCTAACTATGGGGATACATGTATTTCAGTCTCCCCATAGTTCTCCTTTAATTCTAAAAGTAACTTTATTGTGTCAGTGTAAAATAAGTACAGTGTAAAATAATTGACAGCCTTCTTTATCCAAAGTTCTTTTAAACATATGTAGGGGTTTCCTAAAGCAGAAAGCAGTGGCAATGGATTCTCCACCTGACAAACTAGAAGTATGCCTCAGGTGTGACATGTAAGCTCTGTCCTAACAGGTTATCTTTAAAATGTAACTTTAGTATTCCAGCAAATTGCCCCACTCAGTGTGGTACACAGTATGCTTACACTTACAGATACCAGAAAGGTCGAGAGGGGTGAATATCTCCCCATAACCTCCACCAGAAGGCCCATCAACTCTCTGATATCAGTGTTTTCAATCTAAGTGGTGTGAAGAAAACCCTCTTCCCTTAATGGGGGTAACTATAGCACTCAGGAATGTTCAAAGAAACTACATATACATTATATTTATATGGCCTAAAACAATATTTTGGCAACAATGCAAACAATGAAAATAGATTAAGGCACTACTAAACAATTTCCAAAGGCCTAAAAAAAAAATCAGCAAAGTGAATTACCCGCACTGTCAGGTTGGTTCTTTTAAGAACTTTGTATCCGAGCCCTTCTAACAGTTGCTCCATCCCTTTCACATCATGCTCTGCTCCATGGCGTTCTTTAAGATAACAATTATCAAACTTGTCATTGCAAATGATCAGAGCACGGCGTGTACGTTCCTTCTGAGGCAGGATAGGGTACTTCTATATGGGAGTAGACATTAAAATAGAGGTGTGATAATATCATGGCCAACAAGAAAGGAAACACATTATATCAATGTCATTTTGTTTTCTTTTCAATTTCACAGTCAAGCATTTAGACTAATAACGACCAACATTCTGAAATACCCAAATAGGATAATAACTAACCAATGTGCACCAGTCAACCAATTTACCTGAAAGTGAACCAACTATCAGTATGGACTAAATATTAATACCATCTCATGAACAAAGAACATTATTCATGAGATGAAACTTGCAATTATGCAAATGCAATCAACACATGGTTGCTATTAACTGCCTCCGGGCCGGCCGTAGTAGAAAAACGGCCGGCCAGGACCTTCCTCGATCTGAGCGGGCGTCTCAGACTATGTGGATTGGAGCAACATTCATCATATTTACCCCCAGATAATTTTTGTACGAGTCATTCTGAATTGAGAAAGCTGGTTGGATGTCCAGTGAAACATCTTCAAGAAAAATACAGCAAGTCCAGTTGCCTTTACTTATTTTTTTTTACAGATATACCATGACCTGGATAAATGATAACCTTCACAGACACACTTTAATACCATTCCTAAAGGGACCCCGTTCTTGGGAAGCCTGGAAGCAAGCAGGGGTAAAAATGGATCTGGGTAGGAAGGTTTAGGTATACTTATATATTATATCACTCAAAAGATTTGGACGTGATTGTATTGTTAAATATTTAATATATGTATTTAAATAAAGCTGTGTTTCATTCGATGTCTGTATATACAGTTACTGTTACAGTACTGTTCATACACAGTTGTCTTTCTCTTTCGCTGACAGCCACTTTAGGAGAACTTCAATAATCACTAATATCAATAATACTTTTCTTAAAAATGAGCCTGCACTGGGTGCGTTTGGGAATAGTTCTCTTGTGCTACAGATTACAGCAAAAAGGAATGGCGTGGACTGGTGTTCTCCAACCACATCTAGATAAAAAAACTAACGTAATAAGCAGGTAGGATGTGTTCACTATATGCATCTGAAAGTTTACTTTTCAGTTATGACTGGGGCATACCTATAACTTTAGTGTATGCTTGCATTCAATTTAAAAAAACAAACAATAAAGTAAAAACAAATCAACCTTAAAATCAACAACTTTAGCATGATCAATTGTTGAACATTTATGTCATAAACATGTCAAGTCGATCTGGCCTCATATGTATGTTTTGTGCCCTGTGGAGACACCTCAAGAGCTGATTTAACTGTGGGAGGCAAATAGAGATCAGTGAAGTAATGCATCCAAAGCAATCATTTTTTTCCTTAAGAATACTTTGCCAAACAGTGTGTTCAAAAGTTGGAGGTAGACCATAGTCACAATTACTTCCCAGCCTAATCATTCTCTGCAAGCTCATCCTATGTCTGTGTGCACCTTTGACTGGAATAAAAGGGGTCCCCTCACTAAAGTGGTCATTGGTAATGTGCAAGTTTACATTTCTGGAATTTTTGTCTCTATGAAATGCTAATTTTCCTAATCGTACAGCACAGGGCACAGGATCTTTATTCTTAACCCTGGGTTACATGCAGCTACCTTCAGGTGATTGGAGGCAAAAAAAAGCTAAAGGAACAACCCCCATATAACCCCTCCCTCTTCCTTCAGAGCCTCAGTTTTTTTACTTGTGTCCTTAGGTGATGAACATTGTCTCCCTACTGAGAGAAGCTAACCTCCTTTTTGTATGAACTTTTCTTTTTCTTCAAGATTCTTCTAGCAAGACAGCTGCTGTATAGCCACTGCGGTTCCTCTTTTTAGCAGTTTTCAAGATCAGTTGAACCCAGATCCGTCTGGAGGAAGGTGCAGGGTTAACCTATAATGTTGCTCCAGACACTGGATCCTGTGTGGGCCCTCACCCTGTAACATGGAGCATTTACCTTGAGTCAGTCACAGGTGCTATAAAGATCCATGTTGTAGGCTATCTGGATGATCACCTCCTGAAGGATCAGTCGACCCAAGTTCTGCCAGCCAATGTCCGGTGGCTGACAATAATGATTTAGTGGGATTCTCAATCTTCAGAAATATTCCCTGGATCTGAATCACTGATTGGAGTGCCTGGATTTGGACACTGCCCTTTTCAGGGTCTTTCTTGCACAAGATAAGCTACATTCCCTTCACTCACAAGTGGGTCTGATGAAAGCCTCATTTGAGGCAGTTCTGTATGCCCGTTTCATACCAAGCAACTCAATATCCAGAAGTTGTGCAGATAAAAGAGATGTGGATTTCATCCTTGTGCCTTCGCAGTGGATGCTCTGGTGTCTACGTGGGATCAGTTCAACCGCTTCTCCCTCGCCTATTCTGAAGCATGGAGATGGAGGGCATTCCGGTGATTCTCAGTGCACTGGACTGGCCCAGGGGGATGCATTATTTGGACATTGTCAAACTCCTAGCAGACTTCATGTTAGCCCTTCCGGACAACTAATATATTCTGTCTTGGACACCAGTTCTCCATCCTCCATGACTGAGAAAATTACTTTGGATTTTTAGCTTGAGTGAAGGGACAAAGCAGCATAAATTATACAATTTAGATTTGCTCTTGTAGCTGTACATGACACCTACAGGCTAATTCGATAAGCAGCGAGGCTAAGTACTAGGTGCAAAATGTATAACTACTAATCAAAAACTCTAATTACTGAAGTCAGAACAGTACAAGATGGTTCTGATTGGATGTTTTGGGTACTGCACTTTTCATTTAGAGCATTGCAGAGTTTATTGAATAAGCTTGTCAGAGTTAAAACAAATGTTCACAATCAATATTATACATACGTTATCCCTTTCTGTTGAGCAAATCCTCTCATATTCCTCCTGTAAACACAGCGTGATGCCATTACTATCTAAAAGTGAAAAGAGTAGGAAACATTAGTCAGTGCTTAAATCTCATATCTACTCCAACACTCTCTGCTAAGCAGGCTTGAGATATCTCTTTAACAGGCGGGTACAAGTGGAAGATAATAAATATGAGCACCTGTTTGTGGTTTCTCTTTTTCAGCAAGTAATAGCTGAACATGTCTGAACCATGAAAAAAAAAAAAATGTTTCTACTTTATGGTTTACAGCCATAAAGCTAGGGGTAGATGTCACAGGAATGCTTACAAAGCCTTACAACAGTGCAAAACATTCATATCACAGATTTAGTATGTAGCATTTATCATGGAAAATAAGTTACTAAAAACATAAAAATGCACCCATGTAACACTGCTAAAGCCCAACTATGGGCTTCAGTTAAATTTACCCATGCACGCCCCCCGCCCCCCCTTTAATTTACCTATGCAGTGCTTCTTTTGTCTAAGAGGATAGGAATAGGTAGAAATACTTACCTTTTTCCTCATTTTCTCAGCAGACTTTTCTCCACTCTCTGATGTCCCAGGATGCGGACAGGCCCTCACTGTCCTCAAGTACAGTGCTGGAGCTGCTGGCCCTGCATTGTGATGACATCAGAGAACTGCACATAGTTGAGCAGTCAAGAAGAGCAGCTTTAGGGGGCTGGTCTTACAAAGAAGAGGAGGCCATCAGTATTGAGGAATAAGGTAAGTATTCCACCTTTTTTTGATCCTCCTAGATTAAACAAGACTTTCTCGCACAGAGCGCCTAAAGGCCTAAGGCCGGCCCTGTGTGTAGGCTGGATCCATTCAGAGAAATTTAAAGACTCCCATTTTGTTAAGCCCCAAAGAAACATATTAAAAAGTATGATAAAAATAAAACTTTTAATCAAAGCTATTAAACTTGTAGGCGCAATATAATTATTCTTATTAAATAAAACAACAGAAGGCAAACAAGTAGTAAACAATAAATGTCAAACTAAAATAGAGTCTATAAAAATAGTGGGAAATTTAGGAGCAGAGTACTAACTACATCATATTTATGCATCTGTAACTAAAGTAAAAAACAGGACGAAGGATAAACAGGCAACCTCTCTCTTGCACTTTACAACCTTTATAGCAAAGAATATTGCATTCTGGCAATTGTAAAACCTGTAACGACAGTATTTCGTATATGTATTCATTTTTTCCACAGGCCTTTATATTTATATGCAGACCAAGCTGCCCAGCAAAAGTGGCAGTTTACAATGGACAGCTTTTACATTTATATGGTTTAAACATATTTTCCAATAGCAAAAAAAAATTTTTGCTGCAAATGTTTAAAAAGTGTTAGCTTGTGTTAAAGAAGTATTGCCAGAAGCTAAAAAATATTGGAAATCATGGAATCCCTCAATGTAATTGTACAGCAATGTGCCTCCTTTGGTCCCTTTTTTGTACTCAAAACAAAAACTGAGCCCAGACCTGCCCACCAGCCGCCTGCTATTTTGGAGGAGAGATAATACAGTAGTATCTGTCGGCTGGTATGCGTTGCTGTGGGCTTCTGCTTTTTTTTTTATGATAGCACTCCTCCTGAGCCCGCCATCATTCACATTAAAACAAGCCAACAGCTACTGATGTAATCTATCTCTCCTGAATTGCTGGCAGCTGGGTCTAGGCTCAGTATTTTCTATCAGTAAAAGGAAGTATTTTCTGTACAAGGATGGTGGCAGAGGAAAGCAGAGAAGGCACAAGGCTGCAACATTAGATGGAGGGCTGCAGAATGAAGATGGGGATGTGGCTTCAGTACTGGCTTTAGCTTCCAATTCAATAAATTGGGCTTCAGCCTGGGGTGGAACTACAGCCAGCACAGACAGGATCACACCTTCTTCTGATCCTCCTGGACTAAACAAGCCTTTACTCATGTAGGTTGGGGGAGGTGCATTGCATGGGTAAATTTTACAGTAGCCTGAAGTGGGGCTTTAACAGAAGAAAAAAGTATGGTTGAACTCGATGGACATGTGTCTTTTTTCAACCTGACTAACTATGAAACTATGATAGAAAAAGTAACCGTCAAAAAAGCCAAGCTGCTCCTCTTCTGCACCTCTTTCCATACTTACACTATGTAGCACTTACCTGTCTGGCTGGGTGGCTTAACCTTCTGTTCCTGTGAGGGCAATGGGAATTCTGAAGGTGCTAAAAATCCAGGAAAAATGTGTATAAATTGAAGTGATACTTAAATAGTGAACACTGACTAATGAAATGGAAATGTACACAAAATTCTGTAAATAGAGGAAAAATACTGTATATTCCTAATGCAATTTCTCTGAATGGATCCAGCAGAAACATTTTAGCATATTGAAAGATTTCTGCAATAGATAGATGGTATTTGGTTGTATATCACTCACTCATTCCTTAATCTATTGAATTATTTCAAAGGATTGTTAAAGTGTAACTGCAAAACACAACTTTCTTCTTTTTCGCTCATTATTTCCAAATAATTTGCTATGGAAAGCGCGGCACCCAACCAGTTACTGAAAATCAATAGCATGAAAAATGCTTCCATTTACCTTCCCAATACCATTAATAAAAATCATGCTGCTACTCTATCACACCTGTTTTAAGTTGGCTTCACACTTATGAATATCAGTACTGCATAGTAAAATATTTAGAATGTCACCCAATGTATGTACAGTAGCTGTACACACCTAGGCTGCAGAACACCACAATCCTCAATGCATTACAAAAATAGTGCAGGGACAGTTCCTTCATCCATTGTTGCAACTCATTCCAAATATACTGGCTCTGGCTGCCTTAAAGAAGAACTCCAGGAATTATTTGTTATTAACCCTTGCAGTGGGGCTACCCTTCAGCCTGTCTCCTTCTCCACAGCACACTGGAATGTTCCTCAGTATTCTTACATCTATGCACAGTGTATAGACATAATACTTCACTTAACCGTTGCACCGGGGGGGGGATGTTTGGGGGTAGCCTCACTACAAGGGTTAATTAAAAAATAACTTCCTGGAGTTGTTTCTTAATGCAATGTATATTTACATGTAACAATCCATGTTAACATGTGTACAGTAACACACTATAATGGTTTTGGAATGTCTCAAAGAGCCCTTCATATTTAAACATTGAAATATTTCATACATATTGAAATATGTAGTACCTACTCTTTTGGCTGGGTGACTCAATCTTTGTTTCTTGCTGGGGCAACGGGTATTCTGTAGGTGCTAAAATACAAGAAAATATAAGTGAATATACAAACTCATACTTGGATAGTAAGCACTGAAATCAGGAAATTTCATTATAAGAAAACTGTCTTGGAGCAGGGCTGGGGAGATGTTCTGCACACTCTAAAGGTCAGGAGACAGCCAGTATTTATTTATTTATTACAGGTATTTATATAGCGCCGACAATTTACGCAGCACTTTATATAGCTGCACATTCACATCAGTCCCTGCCCTCAAGGTGCTTACAATCTAAGGTCCCTATCTCACATCCATACAGGGCCATTTTAGACAGGAGCCAATTAATCTACCAGCATGTCTTTGTAGTGTGGGAGGAGACCGGAGTACCCGGAGGAAACCCTAGCAAGCACAGGGAGAACATGCAAACTTCTTGCAGATAGTGACCTGGCCAGGGATTCGAACCAGGGACCCCAGCGATTAAAGGCTTGGTATTATTATTCATAAGACCCAGCTGGTGGTGTTTCTAGGTGCCTCATAGACAGCCAGTATGCAAAATTGACATTCTCATCTGTTTATATACATATTAATAACAACAAGGACTCCAGACCTCGAATCTGTATGGTGGAGTTCCTGGATCACCACCACCCTGGTTATTATTATATACATTCAGCATGATTTCCATAAGGTATACAATTCTCTCCTCTTGAATCTCTCTTTACCTTTCTGTTGTAGGCCACTTGAGCTTACTACATGACATTTTCTGAAGGACTTTAATCAGAAACAGTGGGAAATTTAGGAGCAGAGTACTAACTGCATTATATTTATGAACAATAAACAGGCAACCTCTGTGTACTATAGGACCTTTACAGCAAATAATATTGTATTCTGGCATATGTATGTGGTTAAAACTTGTAATGATAGTATTCAGTATATATATTCCTTTTTTCCCAGGCCTTTATATATATATTTTCTAAATTTACATGAAGACCAAGCCATCCAGCAAAAGCAGCAGTTAACAATGGACAGCTTTTACATTTATATGGTTTAAACCTTTTTCCAAAAGAAAAAAACCTGTTGCTGTAAATGTATTCAAAGTGTAAGCTGTCATTTAAGATTGTAAGATGGTATTAAATGCTCCAGGGGACCCAGTGCATGTAGCACTTGGTTCCGTTCAAATCTAAACCTTGGTTGCTAAGCTAGAGTGGTTGACAATTCCCCCCCACCCACCACTGCCTGACCATGCTTCTAGCAAGGGCACTAATCTGTAATTAGCTCTGACTGACAGTGCACAGACAGCCTGCACAATCCTTGCCTGCTCTGAAAGCTACCAGGAAAGAACATCTGCATCCCATTTAATTGTGCAGCAATGTGCCTCCTCTGCTACCTTCTTTGTGCAAAAACAAAAACTGAGCCCAGACCCACCCACCAGCTACTTAGTAGGAGAGAGAGGACAGTAGAACAGCAGCTGTCAGCTTGTTTTGTTGTGAATGATGGCGGGCTGGTGAAGAGCACTGTCGTTTACAAAAACACAAGCCTGCAGTAGCTGGAATATGTTGTTGTAGGCTTCTGCTTTTGTTAGCGACAGCACTCCTCAGTCCACCATAATCAGACCGATTATCCAAAATTCCAAACAATTTTTTATCAATTTGTATTAAGGTGACATCACTTTATGAAGGGGAGTACCAGAGCCCCCGAAATGCATTGGTTGTTATACACCAACTTAATATAAACTAGTCAAAAAAAGTTTGAACTTTTGGATCATTGGTTTGGCACTCTCGTTATACTTGTTACTTGTGAACTTCAGACTCTGGGTCTACCAGCTAGGGGTATCCTATTTTCTTGAGATCAGCCTTGCCAGAGCCATTGTGCTGCACACACTGGCCTGACCTTCTACAATCAAGTGACATTAGTATCAGAAATCCAGTGCCTTTGCCATACATGTTCCAGGTTTTTACTGCTGTCTGTTTGACCCATGGAGTGGTTCCCTTCAAATTCTATCCAGCTGCCAGGATAAAACTGAATTGAAAGTGGTTATAATACTAACCCAAGATATATACACTATATACACTAACCCAATATATATGTCACTTTATATTGTAGTACATGGGAAAGCAATATAAGTATTGTATAAGATGCACTTTGAGATACAACTAGAGAACTGCAGAAGGTTACCTGTTATCCCCAGTTTTTCACTAAGCATCAAGTCTCTTTTTGACACTTTCTGGATCATGATGTTGCTAGATTTGTTTCCTTTTTTTCTCACTATATCAATTAGGGCACGCATTTTGTCACTAGGAAGAACGTTTCGTTCATCGATATATTCCACCTCTCCATCGTTTAGTACCTTTTCTTCAAGTAAGTCATCCAGGAGACCCTTTATAAGTGCCTTGTTGCACCCAGCAATCAATCCATTTCGTAGATTATATAGATGATCTGGGAAAACAGTGATATATCATAAAAAACAAGACCTGCAAGTGCAGCACATGGGACAAGTGACAGGATCACTATCTAGCTTAGCCACATTCTTCTGTGACAGCCATAGGAGACTACTGTGCAGTTTGAAACATGCCAGCAACCAACAGTGGGTTTTGGCAGTCATAGCTCACGTGGATTTATATAATTCACTAAATGATAGGATGATAGAAGATTTCAATGTATTACTAAATGCCAAAGTTTGGATAGAGTGGTGATGGATTAGAAACCCTGTCAGGCTTTAATTACTGGGTACCAATTAGGGAGATTCACCCTTTCTACCCATCTACCTCCAAGTGAGAAAACTCAGTCGAGACCTTGGCCCAGCTCCTGCTCTCCCAACTTCACCTACCCTCCTCCTTTGCTTACCTACTTTTTCTACCCAATATATACTGTCCCCCATTTTTTTCCTCTTTCTCCCTTCCCCCTACCTAACCCATTTACCCTAATCAAACTATATTCATACCACATAACTCCTTTCCCCTTACCCCCTCTCCCCTCACTCTTTTATATGCTTTATCTCTAATTCTGGTCACACCTTAGTTACACACTTTTATCTCCACCTATCCAGCTGTTGCTAGCTATAACACAAAACATTTCTTCTATACAATTTGGTAATAGGAATTATGACTTTGATTCGATTTGTGATATTTAATGAACTGATATTAACTACATTACTCTCACTTGTTAACATGTCTCAAGTATGCGCCATTTGTGCAACTGAATGTGTAATTGTTGTGTGGCTGCATTTACTTGAAATTTTCAATAAAAGTTATTATGGAAACAAAAAAAAAGAAAACTGTTGGTTTTCAAAATGAATTTTTTTTTAGTTTAGATATACTTTAAATTTTTGTGCGTTTACATTGCATGAAACGTGATTTAGGGCTTGAAATGTGTGCAGAAACGGAGGTCTCTGCAAGGGTACACAGAAATAAATTGTTTTCTATGTGCCTTGTTCAGACGCATGTGCAGTGCAGAGCTGTGTGGAATTATACAGCATGCCTGCATTTTTCCACCCAGCTGCACACGTGATATAAAAACACATAAACGCAATGCAATGACCAGTGGCGGAACTGCGGCCGGTGCGGGAGCACCGGGGCCTCAGCCTTTGGGTTAGTGTACAAAAAAAGTGTTTAAATTGATCTTGTTACTGCTTTTAACAGCAGGTGATTGCTGTGTAACTTACAATCGATCTGGTGTCTGAACAGCCGCCGGATTGTTTGTACTGTGTGGTACCACCGCAACGGCCACTGGGTCGGTGGGTCTCCCCGCAATGATCAGAGAGAGATTCAGCCGCTGATCTCTCCTCCGATCACTGGACGCGGAAGTGCTGTGTATTACATCACTTCCGGTGTCACTGTACACAGTCTCCTGCTCTCCAGGACAAGAAGCTGGGAAAGCAGATATTGGCTTCCTCAGCTTGTTTGGGGTCTCTAGGTGACATTAGGGGTCTAAAAGACCCCTGATGCCTCCATAAAGAGGACCTGTCACACCCTATCTGCTATTACACAGGGTGCTTGTTAGTCCCCTATGTAATACCAATAGGGTTAGTGTAAAAAAAAAAAAGTGTTTAAAAATTAATGTAACATTAAAAAAAATGGGAAAAAAAATGTTTAAGTCCCCCGCCCGTAGCGCCTACGTGCGAAAAATGACGATTGTGCTGAACATTTTACATATTGCCTCGAACGTCGCAGTGAGAGCAATAATGCAATTTTTTTGCCGATACAGCAACGCATCCCTGCTTTCTTTCCTCCCCGCTGGGGGCTGCTCTGTGTCCCAGCGGGGAGGATAGAAAGTGAGAACCGGCCGAGCGCTGCGGGAGGAGAGCGCTGTTTGTTTTTTTTTTTTTTGGGGGGGGGGGCCCAAAAAAAAAATCTTGCACCAGGGCCCTTTGTTCCTTAGGTCCGCCACTGGCATTGACTGAACATAATATATTAGTTTGTTTTGTTCAGTACCTATATAAGACAGGGTGGCCTTTATAGCAATTTTCTATACTTCTCATATAAAAAGACAGAACAAAAATGCATGTGTCCTGAGGATTTTGCACATCTTATTTGCTCTCCTCCTCAATGTTGCCCTCCTGCTCCTTTCAGCATAATAATCCTCTTCCTTGTCAAAAGGAATTGCACATGGGCCCTACTTGCCTGTGTACTCTCCACTCCTATTTGACAGCTGTCACATTTCTGCATACTCTGCTACTCCAGCTCAAAGTTGCATCCATTTGTATCATTGCTCTCTCCATCACCGCTGTCACTACTCTTCTCTTTCACCTCAGCAATGAAGGTGGCAGGTTCTCTCTATCCTCCATTCACAAATGTCTTGTATTTAATAAACAAATATGTAATTGGAAGAGGAGAGATGATGTCACACCCTTCTCTTTCAGTCACAGAATGGCTTGTATTCTGTAAAAAAAAATAAAAAAAATACTGCTCTGTATATCCCATCACACTCCTGACTGTAGGATCTGTTTGCCTGCTCGCTTGTTTGCTTTGTGATAATGTGAACATATTGGGAAGTTGGTGATTCTTCTTTTCATTGCTTTAAAAAAAAAAAATACAAGACATTTTCTAAAAGGAGGGGCGGGTGATGTGTCCAGAGCACTGTACTGCTCGAGTGGTATCCCTCCCTCTTTTCAGTGCCCGGAAGCTGGCAACTGTGTGCGAGGGAGAGCATGGGGCAAGGTAAGATTTTTATACTTTGCAGGCGCCCTCCACACTTAATACCCATTTTTTTTAATGATAATGTATACATCCAGTGCAGTCTGTAAATGGAACGTGGCTCTAAATAGTATAGACAGGAGTTGTTCTATGGGGTCAAGG